TTTGTTAACGAAAGATCTGTTGTGAATATAATATATATCTGTGAACCCCTTCTGGTACCTCACCCACAAAGGGTCACAATTTTCAATACTTTAATCTGTCATAACTTGTGAAACAATTCAGCGATTCTTTGCAATTTGCTATGTCTAAATATTTCTCTCAACCAGAAACCTAAGATATGGAATTTATGATTTCGGTCCAACACAAAATGGATAATATGGGCCCATTCCTTTGGGACCTACTCCATAGAGGGTCAACAATTTGAATAATTATAACACAAGTCAAAATATATTTGAATAATCGAACATTGGCTGAGGATATACATCTGTCGGCTAAACCGATTGATACTTTTTAACTAGTTTTGTGCCATTTTTGGAACGACGTCTCTAAAAATGTACCACCTGGTTCTGAGACTTGGTACCATTGATATGTGGTAAGTGGAAAATTTAGGTGGTTTTTGAATTTTCGAGGGATTAACAAGAGAATATTCTACAAGTACTAAAATGTTTCAAAGTCTTATCATACGTATTTGAACTAACTCCGGAATAAAGGGATTAGTTATGGAATTTTGGAAAAAGTGAACGAAAAGTAAAAAACATTGACTACATTTTCTTGATTGAGTGATGTGATGATGATTTATTTGACGTATATGCAATGGAACTGGCAGTCCACTTGGCTAACTAAATAGGGTCAACTGTAAACGTACCATAATTCTGTCATAGTACGACATATACCATCCATTTAGCATTAAAGTTATTAAACTACGCAAAATATTAGCAATTGCCTTTTGTTTTTAACATTAGCAAGATCCATTTTTGAGGAAATTTAGGTTCTTTAATGTCAGACTGCTTCTGGTTGTGTGTGTATGTTACACTTACTCGATTCGGAATACACCAACAGTAGCTAATGGGTTCCTACTCAAAATAAAAATTCAATTCATATTTCACAGAATTTCTATATCGACGATCCTTTTTAAAATCAGCTCGTAGGATTTATTTAACAATTCCCTATTTTTTGCAAAAGAAAATAGAAAAATTGCAAACTCTTAGTCATCGGATAATCTGGAATGCAGACAAGGCGAATGGCGCCAGCCAGTTTAGGAATAATGCAATACATTATCGCAAGTTGACTTCAAAGTCAATATTTATTTAAGGTGTGAACTGAAAACCGGGCATTAAGGGGATTTGCTTGGATAAATAAATGGCCTAATGAGGTGCCAATGTGTCATCGAAGACCGGGATGATCTCTCCCTCAACTTGACATGAATGAGGCAGCAAAATGGTGCACCCAGACACACACTTACACTTGTTAGGATCTATTTTGCTCTGCTTTTTGTGTTTGAGTTAACACCAGAAGTAGATTAGAAAAACAATAACAAAGCAGTAGAATGTGGACCATAGACAGGATCGTGTAGGACAACGATTTAAAGGATTATCCTGTCTAAGTTAATGTTATTTTTTAGAGAAAAGAAAGAACGAAGGATGACGTTTAATTGTTTCTTGAAATGCCATTAGAATTCTGAGATTTTAATCATCAACTGAAAATTACTGAAATGGTGAGAGACAGAGGAAGAGATGGAGAAGAGAAAAAGAGGTGTGAAATCCTGGTAAACCAGTCAAATTATTATCATGAGTTCGTTTCTTATTCTTTTTTCGAAATTCGAATGTGTTAATTAGTCCTTGCCATTTTTTCTTCAAATTTTTACAAATTTCAATGTAAATTATGCACATTATTACTTCTGTTCTCATTTAATGTAACACCTCATTAGGTGGTTAATTGTCATACCAAGAGAGAGAGAGATCCATTAAACCCCTTTTCCATTAATTTGCATCACTTCAATTGAAAAACTCCCCTCCACATCCCCATCAAAGGTCATTAAAAGAGATCTAACATTTGCCGCCAACTTCTGTAAAATTCACAACTTCTCTTTTCTGTTGAATTCATTCTCTTTTATTGCAAAAGAGAGTAGTACTCTTTGACAACGATACGTTTAGACGTTTAGTTTGTACGGTACGAATTTTTCTTTTGTGCACACAACCCGCACAGTATGCTTTAAATATCCTCCTTGCTTTTGTCTTTTGTGCCAGAGATGCGCGTGTCTCTCCTCATACATCCTGCGGTGTTTGTTGAGATTCCCTGTCGGGAATCCAACAGATTGCTACTTAAAGGTATTTATTGGGTATAAATATTGCCATCTTAATAGAGATGTCTGGAGTCTTTGTTTTCAGAATCTTCGAACGGGCATAGGAATGTTGTTGCCAATTTTTTCAGTTCGATAGTGGGATGGATGGGATGGAATGGGTGGAATGGATCCTGCTGTTTACGGAAGCGTGTCAAGGACTAATAGACCATTAGATATATCCATGGGAGGCTCAACAACGCATTTGTCCATATATTTTGAATGAAACATCTTTGAGAACACGCCGCTGCCGTTTTACTGAAAGTAATAAATTTGAAGGTCATTTCGCTGAAATTTTGGATATTGAAGTTCTATTCTTGGAAATCATCTGAACATTTTTCAAATGATTCGAAAGACATCAAACTGTTTCGCGAGCCCAAATGTCTTATTTATCATTCGAAATTCCATTCGGTTATTGTTTGTTACAATTTTCCAGTTGTAATGTATAGAAAATGTTCATTACAGTAAAGTTACAACAACTGTTCTTTTCTTTGAAGTAAGCTATCATTATATTACGTCCGAGGTGTGTTAACAGGATATAAACTCTAAATTATGATAAATTTCCAAATAATTATAGAAATATCCCTGTATTATTTTTCTTATATGCGTCTAATCATACTTTGGAAGATCTGGGGCTGAATTCTTGTCCTAGGCAAAAATGAAAAGAAATGTCATATAAAAAGACCAGTAAAGAAAAACAAAAAGTTGGGACGGGCCCTACACCACTTGTTCATATTTATGAGAATTAAATAATACCACCGATGATCGTCTATGAACGTGTATTATGCCTTTAAAGGAGTTATTATTTAAAACCGAAAGGAAGTAATATTGTGGGGTATATGCTCCTCCGAATCGATTTCTACTAAATTTGACGAAGGCATTTGTGTCTGAACCGATAATCATTAAAATCCATTCCATTTGAGCCGATATTCCATTTTTAACGCACAATAAACGTAAAGTCGGAAGAAGATATATATATGGAAGCTATATCTGTATTTCAACCGATTTCTATAAAATTTAGCAGAGGTATTTCTACCCTGTACCTGTTTTACGGGTGTAATATTTTCACCAAATTCGATACACGTTCTTCCAGGCTGAATACAGTCCATTTGCCAAAACCTAATTCAATTCGGGCTTATATTAACCACTTGGTGAATAATAAGCATGAAATCGATTAAAGATATATACAGGGTGAGATAAAAAACTGCAACAAAGACAAACGCCATAATTTTCACTTTTTTTAAATTTTATTGAATGAAAGCAAAAAATATCGGAAATAGCATCAAATTTTAGAATAAGTTTAGATTTGTTCGAATTTATCACCTTTGGCATGAATTACGGGCTTCAGACGGCCAATGAAACCGTTATACGCTGCCCGAATATTGATCTGCGGTATTTTGATCCATTCCAGTCGAATCGCTTGCTTGAGATGATCGACACTTTGGTATTTTTTTTTTTTTGTGCCAACCTTGCTTTCCAAAATACTCCAGACACAATAGTCCAACGGATTGGTATCTTGAGATTTTTGTGGCCATTGTGCGCTGGAAATGAAGCGAGGAACCTCATTTTGTTGCCATTCTTTGGTGGCGCGTGCTGAGTGCGATGGTGCTGAGTCCTGTTGGAATGTCCAAGGTCCAAGCCTTTAATACACCCTCCAAAATATTTTCGAGATAATATTCGACATTTATGCTGATGCCACGGTCGATTAACACGAGCGGAGAGCGACCATCGGCTGTTATGGTGGCCCACACCATCACCATGAACCGATTTAAATATAATTTGGCGAATTTATCCGATGGCGGATCCGTGATCATAATAATGTAATATTACACACAATATTATTTTGGAATTTTAGAAGGACATCTTTGGTAAAATTCTCTTTTTAAAGTCAAACTGTAGGTCAGGAATGTACAAAGCAATCATCCTATGATTCATTTAACTATGGCCGTTCGAGTAGTTTACCTAAATTTGAAATCAGCGAAAGGTGTCTTAGATCAATAATTTCAAAAATATTCGGTTTTTACAACTTGTAGGATTTTAGACACTTTTCATTTATTACAAAAATAACAGTTATATAAACAATTATTAAAAATAATCGTTAGATGTTCCATGGCTGTGCCAGTTGGCTTTTTCGTTATATTGTCCAAACCACTTTTTACACCCTCCACCTTGGAAAGGAGGAGAGTATATTAACCTTGTCATTCTGTTGGTAACATCCCTTAATATTCATCGTATATAAATTTTCATAGGCGGCATAAAATTCTAAGTCGATTTAACGATGTTCGTCTGTCTGTCTGTTGAAATCACGATACAGCATACAACATGTTGGATACACTAGTTACAACATTATTGACTTGTATGGGGTAATTTGTTGGAAAGTGTTTGAAAGCATTGCCAAAGTATCGTCTTAAACTATCGCATACAACAAAATCGTATTCAAGTACAACCCCATATTACATAAGGTATAATTTAGAATCAGCCAAAAATTGGTATAAATTAGAAGAAAAATTAGATGTTAAAATTGCTTCGTATAACATTCCAAACATATTTTTGTTGATATTTTTAAAATATGCATTGCTTTTTCGAAAGGCCCTATTTGTGAATTTCTTCTGCTGACAACAATGTAGTCATTATAAAATGGTGTATGATCCACAACCTACAACTTAGTAGTAATTTGTACTTTTTTCGAAATTTATCGCTGCTCTCTAAAAACTTGGTTTGCATTTACTTTTCCTCGCTTTCTGTAAAACCCAAATTGGGTCACTTAATCATACTAAAATCCTTGCTGACAATCCCATACAGAAATGAAAAACTTGAATATAATTTAATTTTTCAAATGAATTATATATTTTGAGAATAAAAATAAAACTTAAAATTAATCTTAAAACCTAAAAAAAAATATTTAACTACAACTAAATATACAATTTCTAAATATTTACAATAAAAAAAAACTATTAATAAAAGCCTCATAAAACAAAATAAAAAATCGAAAAAATGTATAAAATTTGTACAAAAAATAGATTAACAAACATCCGCCAAATCTTTGGTATCGCCAAGTGAAAAGTGTAAGCCCAGCTCGCACTTAATGGTGTACTGAACTGGAAACACTTTTCAATACCAGGTGGGGTAGAAATGTTGAGGAACACCGGCATAGTTCATTTTCGATGGTGAACTGAAGCTGGGGAAGTTTTGTTGCATGAAGTGGCCAGAAGCAGTGGCTCCAGCGGCGGCTGTTGTGCTGGCATGAGGAGCGAAAGGCAATTGTTGGCTGGAATATTGGTGAGCGTATTGCGAGTGATGAGCATTGTGATGAGAGTAGGAAGAGTATTGAGAGGCAGCAGCAGCGGCGGCGGCCGAATGAGGATACATGTGATGAGCCGAATTGGTTGTTGTGGCATTGGTCTGAACATTCGATTCGAGTCCTGAAGAATTCAGGGAATCCTCAGGGGATAATGGAGCCGAGGGTCTAACAGCTGTGGCTGAGGTATTTTGGGTTTGCTGCCAGCTGTTGTAATGATGTTGTTGAACAACATTGTTGGAAGTTTCCGATTTCAAGGCAGCTTGCAAATCTTCATGGCTATTGCCATTGACGGAATGAGGACCAGCACCCATAACAGCAGAAAGGCTATTGGGAGTGGGTGGCAATTGAATGTTGGAGGAACCATAGGCTGAGTTAATCGATTCACTGGGACTGTCATTGCGTGGAACAATTGGAGCGGTGGTTTCATTTTCTGCAGCATAGCTGGCATGTTGTGTTGGAACATAGGTGGCGGTGGAAGTGGCATTCATGTTCATGTTGGTACTGGCAGTGGTAGCGGAGGCGGTAGCATATTGGGCGCCATTGTTGTATAGCTGATGATGGGGTGGAGTCAAGGCAGCCGAAGCATTGGTGTTGACGACTGGTGCGGCGGCGGCAGCGGCGACAGCAGCTGTCGAGGGGTGGCCAGCATAGAAATCGTACATTTGTTGTTGATAGGCAGCAGCAGCCACCGAAGCTTCAGAGGGCATCATGGCAGCATATGGAACATGATGAGACATGGTGGGGTATGAGGAACCCATGCCAGCCATTAGAGGGACTTGACCGCCGGCAACACCGCTGTTACCACCCGAGGTGTTTTGCTTGCGCAAACGGGCACGACGGTTGCTGAACCAAACTTGGATGCGAGCTTCCGACAGGTTGGTGCGTTGAGCCAATTCCTCACGGGTATAGATGTCAGGGTATTGGGTGCGTTCAAAGGCCTTCTCCAACTCTTCCAGTTGCATGGCGGAAAATGTGGTGCGGCTGCGACGTTGTTTGCGTTTCAGGGCAATACCAGGTTCACTTTCACAATCCGAGAGGTCTTCATGGGAATTGGTGGCAGCATCGGAACCGGATGAACTCTTTTGATGTTGTTGATCATCGGAGTGTTCGGGGGCAGCATCACGGCCACGAACCAAGCGCGATATGGCCGAGACCGATGGAGCAGTGGTGCGATCGCAAATGCCATCACGAATAAGTTTATCGCGAATTTCCCACGAGAAGATGCCAGGGTTGGCACGTTTGTATTCTTCAATGCGATTTTCAATTTCGGGAGTGGTAATGCGTGGCTTGGAGCCTCCAATGACACCGGGACGAATGGATCCAGTCTCTTGGTAACGATTCAAGATCTTTGAAACGCAGCCGTGGGAGACGCGGAGCTGTCGCGAAATGACACAGGGACGGATGCCCTCAGCAGCCATTTCGACAATCTTTAGACGAATGCTGTTTGGCAAGGGACGGCCGTTGATGAAAACACCGCCCAGCTGATTTACGCGACCTTGGCCGGCATTCATGTCTGGAAATAGCAGAAAATGGGAAAATGATTTTTTTGGAAAAATGCAAGCAAAATGTTTTTCATATGCGCGTGTCATTTCCTTAGAAATTTCGCAATCATGCTGTGTCTCTCGCTCATCACTCGAAAAGACAGACAGACACCGGGGCAGGTAAGCCGTCGAATGTTTAGCACGTTCGCGTGCTTCCCGCCGGGGTGTGAGTTGCCTGTAACAATTTTGCTTTTTGGCAGATGACTTGATTTATGACACATTACACTCGAAAAAATTTCTGACTTTAGTGGCTCTGACTTTAAGAGTGATCTTAAAGAGAGTCATATTTCTCTTCGAAGAGAGGGAGAGAGAATGAGCGAGTTGGTTTGAAACCTGGATAAGGATTTCAACTTACCTTGCATAGATGGATATCCGTTAAAGAATGGTCGGTGCATGGCGGCGGCAAAGGCAGTAACGGTCATGGTTTATGTTTTTTGTTGTTGTTAAAAATCCAATCGAATGGCAATAAATTGATGTTGTTGTTCACTTTGTAATCCAAATAATGTTTGTTTTTCACAATTTGTTGTTAATGAAATTTATTTAAAATATTATTTTTTTTTTAAATTTCTTTAAATATTTTCTCTTGTTTTTTAATTCTTCTTTAAGTAAAATTGTGTTTCTTAAATTTACTTTTCTTTTCGTGTGTTTGGTTGGCTTGTGATGTTGCTTGTTTCGTGTTGTAAACCTAACTGATGTATTCGCTGATCTCGGTAGAGGATCGTTGCTTTTCTGTGAAGGCAGCGCAGCAGCAGCAATAGAAGCAACAGCTCTGTGAGAGAACTCAACGGCACACAATGAAAATAACAATACAAACAACAACAATGCATTACAAGAGAAGTCACCAACAACAATGATGTGGGCCATTCTATATTGCAGGTACACTCAGTTACAACAACTACACCACAGCCATCTCTGAAGACAACTAGTTGTGTTGTTATTGCTTGTTTCTCTTTACACCATTCACCAATCATACAGCCACTCTGTTCATGCCATCTCGCTCTCACTTGTTATTAACTGTTCGTCGGGTAGTTTATGCAAATGATTTCTTGAGGGCGTGAATTGTTAGTTTTGTAACAAGTCGAGTTGTTAGTGTTGTTGTTATGTGCGTTGCCATGTTGTTGTTGTTGCATAGTTTTGGTTTTTTTGGCGTTGTCGTTCGTCATCGCCTCATCATCGTATTTTATTATGGCTTTTCTTTGGTATTAGCAATTTTTTCTTTGGTTTATTGTTACTCAAAAAAAGTGTCCATTATTATGCCAATTAGCAGTTGTTGTTAATGTCCTTCGCGTTTTTACCGTACCGCTATCAAACAATGAATGAATGAAAAGAAGTGGTCGTAGATTACATCATGATTAGAGTTGAGGGCGAAGAATAATATATCATATTCATAATTTATGTACTCTTGTATGTACGAAAGGTGATAGGAATGCAAAACTATATTTAACAGAGGGGATAAGAAAGAAACAGCCTTGCTCAGCAAACATTCCAAGTTTCTTTAAATATCCAGAAAATCAGGTTTTATATGTTTCTAGCTGAACACGACGCGCTCAACTCCAATTAAGTTCCTATTTAGAATGAATAGAATAGCTAATATTGAGTTTCATATAAAACTAACTGACCCACTACGCGTCGCTGACCCGTCGTTTTAGTTTGTAATGATTACTTAAATTTATTTTAAAAAATGCAACATTTCAGTTTGAAAGACCTATATTTTGTAACAACAAGTAAAACAGCTGTAAATTCGGCCGGACCGAACTTGGAATACCCTCCACCATTTGGAAGTAATTTAGCAATTTTCAAAAAAAAAAAATAAATAAATAAAATCCGTCAAAGATTCTATTAAAAGCTTAAAAATACCGAATGTAGCGTTATATACGACGGCGTGGACCTGCATAGGCAACTTTTATCATAAGCCATTACAATATTCAAATGTGAAACTTGAAATAAATTCGGCGAGTTATATAGCTAAAATTATCAAAATAGGGAGGTACTATTATAAGGGGACTATACCAAAACGTGGAACTCCACCGACAATTTTCTGTCATAGGCTTTAGTATCCATTACAAACTGTAAATATAAAATTTAAAACAATTCTGGTGAATAATGTTGCTAAAATCATCAAAGTACCGAATATTGGGAGGTACCGTTATGTGGGGGCTATGCTTAGATGTGGACCTGCACAGACAATTTTCTGTCATAGGCTGTAGTATCCGTTACGAACTGCAAATACCAAGTAAATAATGTCACTTATATTATATGGGGGCTATACCAAAACGTGGACCTACATGGCCCATTTTCAATAGCCCTGCAGACATAATATACACTTGAGTAAAATTTTATAAACCTACTTCATTTCGTTCGGAAGCTAGAGTTATTTCCACAGACGGACGGACATCGCTAAATCGACATAGAGTTTTATCCTGATCAAGAATATATATACTTTGTGGGGTCTAAAATGTATATTTCGAGGTGTTGATATATTTAGAGATTTCAATTGGTAGACGCTTCTGTATAATGATAGCACTCCATCTTTCGCTTTTAAATTTTTATTTTCGAGTTTTTGAGTGGTTTCGGTCTCCAATTCAAGGTAATTTAATAGAATAGAAATGTCAACCAGGTTCATGATCCGGAGAGTTCTAATGAATAAGGCACCACTCAATTATTAGGATCTCAATTATATGGATCGAAGTTTTCCAACTAATTTTAAATTCCTTATACGTATTAATTACAAGATCATTGTCCGTGGTAGTGCAAACTTGACGCTCTTCTATACCCTCCATACAATAGGAATTTAAAAAATTTGGTTTTCATTTCGTAAGACCCTAAAACATTCTTACTCAAATAGTATATTTTTTATCAGAGTGAAATTCTATGTCGATTATGCTCTTTTGAAATTAACCCCACGATTTTGACATAGCGGTAACTGGTATATAAAAATGATTGTAATACAGCGATTCTTATTTCGTAGACTTTTTTTGTACATATTCCCAAAACCACTGCCAAATCTCCACCCTAAACACTAAAAGTGACTATAATGCCAAAATTTAGATTTCATCACAATCTGTTCACCCGATACCAAATTTAGTATAATTTAATACTTTTTCTATACTTACTTATACTAAGTATACTATACACATTTCCAAACCTCTTTACCTCTTTATCTTAATCGTAATCGCCCTATTACCAACATTTCCAGTTCATACATTCTACTAAAACCAAATTGTATCAAATTTAGTACCATTTAGTAAAATACTTACACTTTGTACATATGCCTTCCTGGTTTCCCAATTTAATTCTTATACCAAATGCCAATATTTTGGCTCAATCCATTCAAATAATAATACGTTTAGTCCACCTACAGATGGAATTTCAAAAAAGACAACAATCGACCATTTTTAAAATTTCTGAACTAAATTAATTTAATTAAAATTTCACAAAAACACAGCCTTATCTCATCCTTTTACTCCAACATTCACCGAAAAATGAAAAATTTCAAGATTCTAGCTTCACCGTTAAAACAGTCGGTTAGTCACCATTTCCCTGGAATATTAAAAAAATATGTTTGGAAATGAATTTAAATGACAAAATGACGATATAAAAAAACGACAGAGAATTTGAGTTTAATCGGTGCAGCCGTTTTCAACTGATATATTTACATATATATACATATGTAAAGATTTCAAAGGATTAGCCTTTAGCCCGACTTTATGTTAAAAAAATAATGGTACCCCCCTATATTCGGTACTTTGATAATTTTAGCTACATTATTCATCGAATTTTTATACCCTCCACCATAGTATGGAGGTTTGTCATTTCGTTTGTAACACCTCGAAATATACATTTTAGACCCCACAAAGTATATATATTCTTGATTAAATTCTATGTCGATTTAGCGTTGTCCGTCCGTCTGTGGAAATCACTCTAGCTTCCGAACGAAATGAAGCGAGTTGATAAAATTTTACTCAAATGTATATTATGTCTGCATGGGTCTTGTAGGTCCACGTTTTGGTATAGTCCCATATAATGGTACCTCCCTTTTTCGGTATTTTGGTGATTTAAACGACATTATTCACCGGAATTGTTTCAAATTCGGCGTTTCAAGTTCGTAATGGATACTACAGCCTATGACAGAAAATTGTCTGTGCAGGACCACGTCTTCGTATAGCCCCAATATAACGGAACCTCCCTATATTCGTTATTTTAATGATTTTAGCTGCCTTATTCACCTAATTATACCCTACACCACAAGGTGGTCAGGGTATTATGTCTTTGTGCATTTGTTTGTAACAGGCAGAAGGAAACGAGATAGACCCATAGTTCCTTTTGATGATCTGCATAGAATCACATTCTGAGTCGATTTATGCATGTCCGTCCGTCCGTCTGTCCGTCCGTCCGTCTGTCCGTCCGTCCGTCTGTCCGTCCGTCTGTCCATGTATTTTTGTAAACAAAGTACAGGTCGCATTTATTGCCCGATCCATTTTGCACAGATCATTTGTTTGGCCCAAGGACGAACCCTATTGAAATTGGAGATAATCGGTCAAAATTTAGATATAGCTCCCATATATATTTTCGTCCGATTTGCCTTTTATTGTGCACCAAACGTGTAATATCAGCCCGAATTGTATGGAATTTTGCATATACACCCATATTAGGCCTGAAAATATGTGTGACACATTTGATCGAAATCGGTTCAGATATAGCTATAGCTCCCATATATATTGTTCATCCGATTTGTTATTTTTGTCCACCGCCGCCGTAATATGCACTCTGCAACAACAATATTTGGGGAAATGTATCAAATACAGCTCAGAAATACATTTGCTAAATTTTCTCGAGATCGGTTCAGATTTGGATATAGCTCCCATATATAACTTCGTCCGATTTACCTTTTCTTGTGCACCAAACGTCTAATATTTGTTCAAATGGGATGAAATTTGGCGCTTACGACCGAATAGAGTCCAGAAGCTAGTATGTCAAATTTGGTGAAGATCGGTTAAGATATAGCTATAGCTTCCATATATATACTTCATCCGATTTTTTATATTTGTTACCCACAACCGTAATATGCACTCCGTAACAACGATATTCAGGGAAATATATCAATTACAGCTCAGAAATATCTTTGCCAAATTTTATCGAGATCGGTTCAGATTTGCATAAAGCTCCCATATATATCTTTATCCGATTTCAAATTTATTGTGCACCAAATGGGCAATACAATTCCGAATTTAAAATATACAAATGCTTCGGCATATTTAGTCCTTTGAACTTTTAATTATAATAATAATCATAGCGTGTATGATTAAATTCTCCCATAAAAACTTTTAATTGTTATGTGGAGCTCTACTAAATTAGCAAAGTGGTGTAGGGTATCATAAAGTCGGCCCCGCCCGACTTTAAGACTTTCTTTACTGGTTTTTTATTCAAGTTTTGCATTTGAGAATTGTAATGGTTTATGACAAAAGTTGCCTATGCAGGTTCACGTCGTTGCGTAGACCTAATATAACGGCTACTTTCGGTATTTTTAAGATTTTAAGACTTTTTAACGGATTT